ACAAAAAGTAGACGCCGATAACTGCGCGCCTAAGGCTTTGGTCTCTGATAAGGAGTTCAAGCCCAAAAATGGTCGCCTAGAAGGGCGGAAGGGCCTAAGACGTGTAGGTGATCGGCAACACGAGAGAAGTTATTTTTGTCCGCTTTCCTATTTATTGCACTACATACTGTCTAGGTAACCACACAAGTGCTCTAAGTCGTCTGCCACTTTCTGCCCGAATATCTTGAAGATTATTCAGAGGTTAGCAAAATTACAATACCTGTTTGATTGTCAAACCTTACTAGCAAAGGGACTTAATTAAAAGGTGGGTTTAAAACCTTAATTTAAGCAGACGGCGCCTGTAGGTAGGTGAAACGCGAATGATGTAATTTAAAGCAATCCATACCACAGTCTGTCTGCGACAAAACTCTGAGACATTTTCCACAGAAAGAGAGTAACAGACTTTGTCTATATTGCTGAGGGAGAACTCTTTATCTGTTATAACTTGTACTGTTGGTCCGCCTAAAACGTCTAGTCTCTACGGTATTCAAGAAGCTGTTAAAGTGAAAAACTCTGCCTTCAAGAGGTTTATTGGGAAAGACTCCGGAGACGAAATTTTCATGTCGGCTCTATAAGTCTTCGCCAGCCGGCCATATATAAACCTAGTATTAAGAAATGGAGGTCATAATTTAATTAAACTTGACAGTTAAATCTCTGCCCTTGAACAATTTGCTCGAAGTCTGTTTTCTATGATCGGCAATGCTCGAAAGCGTTATAACGAGTTATCCCTAAACCCTATGCGACATTAAAACGGAATACAAACCCTGCACTCTATTGTTGTGTTCTACAATAGAACTCTCTCAGTCGGTCGCCTAACAAAGGTAAGAGACCCCGAAAAGGAGGACAACTGATCATAACTGACCAAAAATCAGGGCCACAGACTTCTACATAGTCTCACGCTTGAAAACAAACACTTTGGCATTTTTTCTAGGTTTACTCTTTTTATTTCCCGTTCATAAGAATAACTGACCCTCGTTGTAGTTAATTTTTTTGTACCCAGTACGTCATTAGGGGTTAACATTTACTTAACAAGTAAAACAGGATAAAAGATTGGTGGGACTGACTTATGCGCCCCCTAAACAGGACATGAAAACAGATACGCACCGCCTTAATAACAAGGGTGGATTTGTGCATAATGCCGGAAAGTACAAAATATTTCCATGTCTCGACCCCAGCAATAGATCTGATATAAAACTAAACCTTTGCTCTGACCTTGACCCTATCCCTAACCTAAAACCTAACTGTACAGTTATCATGGGGAAAGCTGGGGGACCCACTGACGAGCCGAACCCCTCGCAGCTGCGTCAGGCAGCGGCATATGATCGACGAAACATGCGTGTCTGGGCTTTTAGCTAATACCTGTGTTGTTAGTACGGTTAATCATTGCACAGTTATCACTGTCCCTACAATAACGCTAAACTTGATCCTAACTTACTCTTTCGTAAACTATAAATCTAGCCTTAAGCCTAATCCTTAACCTTACCCTAACCCCAATTTCCCCGGAAGTTGGCTCGAAATCCCCCGTGTTGCGGGCGGTTTCTGTTCTCCGGTCCTGTTTGGGGGGTCATATGAGTCAGCCGCACGAAGCGATTATCCGTCATTAAAAACTATCCGTCTTATAAATATGGTAATTGGGTATATTTTACAGTCGTACAATACACGCTTAATCAACTTTCTTTCAGTTTATTCGTTTTGGGAGCACCGGCTTGTTGAAATCACACCTGGCTTGCAAGGATGATTGTGACGGGTGGCTGCCGGCGTGGATTTTAAGTGTGACACAGGCGTCTCCAGCGACACACATCTCGACAAGTAATTGTAGTCTGTAGGACACTTACATGCGGCTGGGACATTTGCAGCAAATTGTTCAGCGCTACTACATGAGTTTGACGTAGGAGCTCCCCCTGCAAAAGAGCTAGGATAATAAAGCTCTTGTCCCGGCGATCGTGTCTTCTTCTTCTTCTTCTTCTTCTTCTTCTCCAAGAACTAACGTAGTTTAAATTAGTCCCTTCCCTCCTTATTCTTCTTATTATACACGTCATTCTCCACTTCTCCCTTATCTTCTTTTTGTTTACTTTATCACCTTCTCCGGTTGATAACGGCCCTCCGTTCCATCCAATAAGGGCAGGTGTTGGACTCATTTGCACGTCTAGGTCGCGCCTTTTGTCATTTTCCAAGATCGTTTAAGTACCGATCATTGCACTTACACATATAAGAATCGAATCCTCCGCTTAGAAAAACGGCGCGGTCCATGAAATCAGAGCAGATTGTTTTCACATGTTGGAGAATGTGAAAGCACGCAGTAAGGCAACTACGACAATGCCAAGTAAGTCACGCCGTAATACGCCTACTGCGGTTAGCGAGGACATCCTCAAACTTACGTCAACAACCATTATGTACATTAGGCACGTGGTGAATGAGCCAACAGTGTGGAGGGTCACACCATATGTTCTTCGTTGTGCGCGCCAGTTTGGCTGCGACGCACCCATTTCTCATTCCACTCTCTGATTGGCTAGAACTGGCTGGTCAACGACCTTGCCGACAAGAAAGCGTCTGTTTTTTCTGTGTACGAGCCCTCAGACTATCGGTATTCACGGTTAAACTTTTACTTCGATGGTATTACTGAACTAACCCGCAGAAAAATCAAAGGATAAGAAAAACACCAGGCGTTTGAATATAAGAAATTGTCTGTGAATATTTGGCAAATGTTGACCTGGATCAGTAAATATGTTTGCCATTAATTTTATTAGGGGCCCAGATGCAGCTAAGTCCGGTTAATTGGTCCACGCGAGGCGCAAGGCCCTTTGGACCAATAAGGCGTCTAACTCGAATAGCCAGAATTACAGTGGAAAATCCATGACGAAGAGGATCTGTGTTCCTGTCTTATCTTTCCGGTTTTTGAGCTCTTCCGTGGCATCTGTCGAGTCGCGGTAGTTCTCCCAGAAATTCGCAATTGTTTAATTTGGAGGCGGGGCTGTTGATCTTGACACATGTTTTCTGAATGAGCTGCTCATAAGTAGTTTTTGGCCGCCAGATACCTCGAAGAAACAGATTGTGCTTCGTAGAAGCGACGGGCAGAAAAAGCTCATCTCGTACATTAGTTCACCAACAGTTGCCTCTTCTTTAAGCCAACGATTCCTTTAATGATACAAATATTTTTTGGGGAACTGCGGTGATTTGAACGTTTTAAGACTACAGGACTGGTTGGAAGGCGAGAGTAAGAAATGATTTTTGGATTTCTCTAAATTTTGTCAAAATCTTTATTGTCCTCTAGATTCTGAATAGACCCTGCATACTTTACACGCCTTGTGCCATCAAACACCTGGAAAAATCTCAAAGCCGTGAATTGTCCCAAAATCAAAAATACTATCTTTATTCATATCCGGTTTTACTACAATTTATTTCCCGCCAAAGGGTTCACAGCTTATTTGTTCGTTAAATGAGTCAAAATCGAATTGACGAGAGCAACTGAAATTCACGGCTTATTGCATTCAGCGGCAACGACAATTAATTAACGAGCGGGACTAACGGAGGTAGTACAGTATTTTCAGTTGAACGACACACCCTCCGAGGCAGGAGTTTAATTGTACTTGTTGCTAAGTAATCATTTGAAATTCAAATACTAATTACGCAGCAAGTGAATGCCTCATGATTCTTGACGTCCCTCGTATACCGTTTCCGTCTCGCATTCCTAATTTCAGTTCAGTTAACCTTGAGCTGTGCTAAAAGCTTCTGTGTACAAACACTTTAAACACATCAAAATACAGTAGGTGGACTAGCTCAGGAAATGTCAACCGAAATTTCGAAATGCGTTCTTGTTTCGAAAAGATTAATAAATTACGGTTGTAAAACTAATCATTATGCAGCATAATTCTATAATGATCCAGTTACCTCAGGGTGTCGGCTTTCAAATGAAAGTATTTTCTACTGCATGCAAGAACTAGACTCTACAAAAAATGACTACTTAAGTAGCATGCAATTTTCATATTGATTTTCGATGATTTTGAAAATGTAATTAAATTTCGTGGAAAGCATGCAAAAAATATTGATTTTTTATAATCTCTGTAGAACATCACGTCTTCTTTCATGTTTATGCTCGAAAGAAGGGTATGCTTTCGTCTCCAAAAAGTTTGTAATTGTGAGATTTTTTAATACCATGAAATGATCGTTCATAAAACGTCATGTATCTGAATTTACGAATGCGGCTTATAAAGCTAACAATATTGCCCAAATCCACTGCTTAATTTTATGATCCCCATATGGTCTCCTCTTAATACCGCAGAGAAGTGCATGGTTTTCCGTACACGGAAAATACACGTCTTGTAGTTTTGAAACTTTGATTGTAAGCGTAACAGCAGGTCGGGTTCAAAATTATTCGTAAATTAGAAGTCTATTAAAACCGAATTATACACTTCTTTCGAGTGCAAAATCGGAAAAAGGTGTAATTTTCTACCGAGTAAGTAAAAGAATGAATATTTTTATGCATGCTTCCCACGAAATATAATTGAATTTTCAAGGGCATCGGAAATCAATTAGAAAATTGCATGCTACTTAAGTAGTCATTTTTTTGAAGAGTCTAGTTTATGCATGCAGCCGAAAATAGGTTCATTCAAAAGATGACACCCTGAGGTAACTGGATCATTATAGAATAATGCTGTATAATGGTTAGTTTTACAACCCTATTTAATGAATATTTTCGAAACGAGAACGGATTGCGAAATTTCAGTTGACATTTTATGAGTTAGCCTACCTACTGTACACTTAATCATAAAATCATTCCGGTAAAAACGTAATATGAACAGTAAAAAAAATTGTATTTTATCGTTCAGACCCCGTTAGGATCTAAGCAAAGATAATTTTGAATTAGAAAGGCAGTTGCTGAGGTACTGAGCGTTTTTTCCGGACCGGATCTGACTCTAGGACCCTTGCGCAAGAAGTACAACAACACCACTCTTGGGAGCTGGTTATCGCCGGTGATGATGCTCTAATTGGTCAGTGGGCGGAATATCAGGGGGTGGACCCGAGACAGAAGTATAGGCGGGCGGAGGTCGTTGAGATGCAGGCTCGCCTTCAGGGTCTTCTGGGCCGTGAAGTACAGCTGGTTGGGGCAGCGGAAAGATGGAGGGTATAGGCATGTTTTCGATGTTAGTCTGACTGGAGGGTGCCTCCTCAAATGCCGGCGGTGGAATGTCGGGTGTCACATCATTGTAAGTAGGCAGGGGTGGCAGTAGAGATGGCGGGATCAGACTGTAGGGTGACATCCTCGCTATAGCAAAAAACAGAACACAGAGATAAATATTCCTCGATCATTGCTTGCAGATTAATGCCTTCAACGAAGTCCTTTGCGGGATATTCGAACGGTCCGTACTTAAGACGGTTGGCAGCATACTCTATTTATTCTATTTCATAGATGTTTTGGCAAATTTTGAATAATTCCTACTGATCCAATTGTAAAAAGCACGGCGCCTCGATGGGATTCGAACGCACGACACACAAGGAAAGGCTTTAGTAAAGTCAACCCTCTAGCCACCTGAGCTGCGAGGTGCCATCGAGTGACGCGAATTTTTAATCACATTTGCGTCAAGTTACCCGCCCGACTTACTGAAACGTCTGGAATCCCCCAAATTTGATACAGTTTCCAAATTCCAAAAATCAGTACGTTTAACGCCCACGTATTCTGTTGAAATCCGGCACGATTCCAGCTCACTGCTAACCAACAATATAGTCAGTTTCAGTACACATTAAATGGCATTTCCTCGCACATGCAGAATACTTGCTGGAACCGTAATAGACTTCCGCTCGAAATCGCATGACCACTGAAGGGGTATCCAGTCATCTTAGTGGCAATAAATTAATTAACCCTCTATAAGCATTCCAGGATTCATTTCCTTTTGTATTCATCCTAACGAAATTGACGAGTCATTAATTTAATAAAAACCTGCACTTTACTGCAACGAACATTCAGCTAGGTTATCGTTCTGCACAGGTCTAATACATTCATACAGAGTAGCATTCTAGATGTCCCGAGTTATACAATAATCACTCAAAGCCGGTGCTGGCATCAAAAATAAAAGCAAAAATGCGTGCAGTAGTCCAGTTAGAACAACAAGAATTAAGATTTTTCCAAACTTGCGTTTTACTGTTTTCAGCTAGTCACTAACTTTGATCACTGTACGCAGTGGAAAAAGCACACATGTACCTACATCTAATGTAAGGGCAAGTACACCGGACACTGATTAAGGGTACGCAGCACCCGACAAGGTAATCAGTGACACAGGAATAATCGTACAAGAAGAGATCACAAATAGGTTGTTGAAAAATTAGTTCACAAAAAACTAGACCATAATCTAATAATAATAATTTTTATTAAAGACCCGTCGGGGTCCCATCACAACACACACACAGAGTAATGGCTTTAAAGTCTGCAAGTTGACCATATATTTCATCCTACTCAGGACGGACTATCATACTTCAGTGGTCGCTTTTTACTGCGGTCTCTGCATTACTTCACGTATCTGAGATTAGTGACCCAATCATTAAAGCCAGGCATGAGTGGAGTTATGGATCCGTTTGAGTGAAGAACCTGTTGACGGACTGCCTAGCATGGTCAACTGTCGCGCCTATGCACATGTCTCATTGTCTTGACCTTGCTCTGTTGTTGAGATTTGTCTCTAAAATGGGCTATGCTGCAAAATGCGCTAGTCCAACCCAGCGGCTAGATCAGAATATGGCAAGCGTTATTGAGGATTCGCATTCACAGTAAATGCCAGCAACTGGCAGACCCAGTTGCCGGCTCATATTTCGCGTCACTTGGGGTCCCTGCTGTCCACCCCATTTTTACCTGTGATATAGCATCCTTGTCAGTGTACGTTGTGGACCAGGGGGTGTGGTGGTACGCATAGATGCAGGTTAACACCCTGCCAGCCACCTGCGTCCTCTCTCGCCCCCGGTCTTTTTGACCCTGTCACGAAACCAGTCTCAAGTGGGGAGAAGGAGGAAGTGGGATAGGCTCTGCGCAAGTCTACTACCACTTTAAACTAAGTCCCGCAGATGCCACCATCCCTACTCTTACGCCCCTGTGGAGCGAAGGATGGACACCGTCTCCAACGACGGTCAAATGGTCTATCGTTGGAATGCGGTGGACTTGAAGGAGTGAAGCGGAGTGAATGCATTCAACTTCTGCTGCATTAAAAACAAATTCGCCTACACCGGTGAACTTCACCACTCCCGCCGGTTGAATCATTACCGGTTGCTGTCAACAGATTTGTTCGGGTTCCGTTCAAAAATCTGTGATGGGCGAATTTCTCGTGTTTCACAGGCGATTCAAAAATGGAAGGACGCTCAGAAATGCGGATATAAACCCGTTCAGTAAATGTTAGAAAAGAATCCTCTGACCTCACGAAGGCTTTTAAGGGACAGTGTTAAAATCTATTCTTTGCACACCCAACCACAGAGAACTGGTGTAAATCATTTTAAATAAGGTGGATACTCACGTGAGGCCACGACCATAAGCAAAACTATCTGAAGATAATAATAATATTTTATTAAAGACCCGTCAGTGGGCTGGTTGCAAAGTCTGTCCTTTAGCATCTTAAGTATAGCGCGTGAACAAGCCCAAACTTGAAGCACACTATATCGTCACCAGTTTTCCAGAATTAAACAGAGAGAAATTACCATAAAAACTACTAAGTTCAAGCCTTTGGTTATACGACTGGTGATAGAGAGAACAGAGGACTGATTCCCCTTCTTGAACGTCCTCGTCCTCCGCCATCCTGACAGTCAATTAACGGTCACAATAAACTGGAAAGAAATCGACACTCTACCGATGCTACGATATCACAGTATTCACCCCTTGTAGCTTGGAAAAGTGGCATTTGAATGTCCTTAATCGAGTGTGGATACATCGCAGCACACAACCAGTCAAAAATGTGAACAGGCATCTCTGGAAGCTCTCCATGACCAACAGGTGTGCAATCGCACTTACTCAAGAGAACTTCCTTTTCAGGGGATGCGAGATTGAGTAAATAAACAGACGCAAGTTACGGACCCAGACCGCACAAATGAACAAAAATATTCGAAACCGTAGCCAGATCTTTCACGCCACTCACGATAGAAGTCACCTCTAGGCCTTCTCAAATCTCCGTCGGTTGGTGTGAATCCGAAGGGCCACTTAACAGTGCGAAAAGGTCAGCCGTTGTTTACTTACCCCGATACATTTTCAGAGATGGCAAGTGAGTAAAGGTAAACTGAACGTGGCTAGATCGCAGTTGGTAGCCAGGTAGCAGACGGCGAACTTAACCCTAATCCTAATCTTAACTCTAACTCTAACTCTAACCTCAACCTTAAACGTCAACCGTTAACCCTAACGGCAACCCTAACCCTAACCGAAATCGTAAATGTAACAGTTGCCCTTAGACATTGCCGTAACTGGAAAACCTAACCTTAATACTGAAAACTAATCGTACGCTCAAACTCTAACCGTAACCTGAAAACCTAACCCTGAAGACATAACCCTAACCTTAAAATCGGAAACCATTAACCGGTACCCTAATCCTAACCTCGAACGTAAAACGGAAGCCAAATGGGACAGATGTTGTTATGGAACCCCACAAAATAGCCCCAGTAAACAAACCCCCCAGATACCTGTAATAGGGGCCTGGCTACCAATTGCGATCTAGCCCTGAAAGTTGCGGAAACGGGTGCGAGAACGAAAATAGACAATAAGGGTGACCTTAACTTGCATGCGTCAATCCGCGCCGTCTAAGCGGCGTGCGACTTCAGTTTCAACGGGATTAATGCGATGGTGCCAGGGGGAATTCAGGCTTCAAGTCAAGTAGGGGAGGCGTGGCTATACTCCGACCGCTCAGTCACCCACCACATGGGCTTCCCCAAGGTATACGTAGCCCCGCGTCAAAACTCGACCATGTGCAAGCAAGACATTGTAGATGCCGGCCATCTTAACCTGTTTGGCGTCGTTGTTCAAGACCTCGATGCCTCAAGGTGATTCATCCCTTGCAGCGAGCCGTTTCAGACGCGCTGATCTGAAGCCGCCCGACCGACATCAGCTCGAACACAATTGCGTCCTCACAGTGTCGCGTCTACCCATGCGCCACCCGCTGCAACCAGCTAAACAAGCCACTGGATCACCACTCTTCGGCGAATGCAACACCCACTGACTGGACACCACCTGAGCTTGGCCCACGAGCCTAAAAAAGCGGCTGCCACCACTGTCGCAGGGACTCTCAGGCTTAAGTGGACGCAGTCAACACCAGCCCTGGCTTCGCCAGTGGCCACTGCCGCCTGAGAGGACAACTCCGGGTTCTGTGCACAATAAACCCCTCATTCTGGTGCCTTCCGCCTTCTCCTTCTAACATGGGATCTGACCCGACGATGGTAGCGCACAGACAGGGACATATTCACACCGCTTGACGCGTACAAATTTGTGACAAACCCCGACCTGATCGACGCGCAATCTCCAGACGTGGCTGCACTCAACAACATCACACCGTCTGGTCCCTCAGTTGCAGACGTCCATGGCAGGAACAGCGGCAAAAATGCCCACCGCCTAGCTTCCAGTAGCCCGTCTTGTTGTGCAGGTGTCGCGTTTCTCCAGTCTAACGGCAGGGGTGACAGCTTGACCGCTGCACACGATGATGTCAACAAGCACCTGGCGGGCGCGGGGCGGTGTCTTGAGCGAGAATTTGTTTTGGTGAGGCAGACTCCCGCAGCATCTACCCAACTCTCTCCTGCCTCACTTTTCTGGCAGGAGAGAGAGAGAGAGTCACGACGCCTGGAGATGAGCTCAGTCGCAGTGACTGATAGAGATAAACAACGTGAGTCGCAGGTAACCTTGTTACCTCACAGTGTTTTCACAGAATAAAAGGAGGGGGGGCGGGCTCGGATCTCATGTGCGCATGAATGCCGTTGAGGCCATATTCAGAAGGAGGCACTGTGGTCTGATCCTCGGCCCTCGGCTGGCAACCCTCCACGCCGTGACTCTTAGCGCGTCGTGATAGAGCTGAGCCCTGTGCTGATGTGCATGCTACACCACTCGAGATGAACTCTCCATGACGTCTACTTCACCACGAAAGGGCTGTCATAATGACAGCCCTACTGCGCATACTGAACGCCAGTTTGTGTTCAAAGAAAAATAAGTTACACGCAGCCTACAACAACTCCAGGACCAACGCGGACAAGGCTGCCTTCTTCCACATTCGACGACTGATACAGCAGCGACTGCGGGATATGCAGAGCACCCTCATGAATCCCAAGGTCGAGGAAATACAAGGATACGTGGACAGCCATTTTTCTCGAAAGTGAAGTTTGATGTTTGAATTAATCTTCACATGTGACCCAAACGACCATCTTTGCGAAAAGGAGGGCTCGAACACTCACTAATTCCGTAAATGACTTCAAGAATAACCTTATTTTGAAGTTCTCAACAGACAGGTAATTAAGAATCTGTCTTTATGGATTCAGCAACATTTCGAGGCAGATCTGAAACTCAGTGTAATCGAAAACGAACGAAAAGTGTAAATTAGTTTAACGGAAGAAAAGCTCTCTCTAGAAACACAAAATAGTATGTTTACGAGCAGGCCTGCCAGTTCTATTTAAATTTATTAGACACCGACTGGCCTCATGGAATGTCACCGTATGAAAACTTTTGTTCCTACGACGTCCCCACCGGTGAAATCAAGCAAAATCCAGTTTATCTTGGTAAACCCCATCTCATTTAACTCAAAAGACTCAAGGATCATATGAATCGCTGGAAAATGGTTTTGGAATCTACATTCAGAATGTAGGCAGTTGACAAACCGTCATATATGAATTTGGCACTAATTATTAAACGATATTTAGGTGTAATCTTCACTAAAACCCTATTATTAGAAGTTATTTTGTCTCTGCATTCATATTTACTACGTTTCGGTATGAAAATACATTCTATACATCTAAAAACGAAGTTTACTAAATTAGAGCCCTTTCTGATGTTTTTGGGGATATTGCGCTTTGTTAAAAGAATTGGCATTTCTAAACAACGCAACACTGCCTTTAATATTTATAGTATGCGTTTAATTCTTTTAAACTTGTACTTGATTAACATGGACATTGAACTCTCTAAATGGTGTCGGTTTGCGAGTGATTAGCAATCATTCGTAAATTTCGACACATTTCATGAGTTAGGTCATTAACTAAACTTCAACACGAAGGGGCCGTCATAATTACAGCCCTACTGCACAAAATGAATGCCATTCGATCGGATTAGTAGGTGTGGACCACTTCCATTGGGAGGAGCGGACGACACCGACAGTCAAATCCGCAATCTGCTTCCAAAAAAATAAGTTACACGCAGCCTACAACAACTCCAGGACCAACGCGGTCAAGCTGCCGTCTTCCACATTCGACGCCAGATACAGCAGCGACTGCGGGATATGCAGAACACCCTTATGAATCCTAAGGGCGAGGAAATACAAGGATATGTGGAACGCAATAAGATGAAGGATTTCTTCACACCAATCAATACTGTCTACGCCCCCAAAACTGAAGCACCTGTGTCCTTGCGGGACTCGGATGTATCAACGAACCTCAAGGAAAGATGTAAATCCGGAAGCGTGGAGTTGAGCCCCTCAGAAGTGCCCTAAACGGATTGTCCACAATTTCTGACGACGCTATCGACCGGCTCTCCCAAGTGGAAACAAGTAATGACCGGCGCCGACAGCCTTTTTCTTCCCCCCCCCGACCAGGAATGATCACAGCAGTGCAACAGCTCTCTAGAGGGAAAGTACCGAGATCCGAGGCGGTCAAAACCGAAGTCTACCAGCATGGCAGTCCGCGGCTGATAGACTGACTCCCAACGCTGTTTCAGGAGATGTGGTGGCATGCCCAAGTCTCTCAGAAATTCAAGGGTGCCACGACTGTGCGCGTCTACAGACGCAAGAGCAACCGGCAGCTGTGACTGTCACAGAAGAATACCACTACTCAACTATAACCTGAAAGATCGTGGCGGTGTTACTCTACGGGACAAAAACATGACTTTTCTACGCCAATCAAGCCAGGCAACTTAATCATTTACCTTCAGCTCTTCAGAGAATACTAAAATTGAGGTGACAGCTCAGAAAACCTGACACGGAAGTCCCGGAACGAACTGGAATCCTCAACAACCACTTCATGTGGAGACATCTGCAATTTCTCCGGAGCGACCACCTCGCGTGGATGGATGGGTGGCAAGCGTCTATTCAAACGACTCTTCTACGTTGGTATCACTACGGGTGCTCACCAGCAAGGAGGGCAAAAACTTCGCTGCAAGACCTCACACAATGATCTACAAATAATTCAGGAGACCTAGAAGAACCTTGCCTACGATCACCAGTTGACAGAAGAGCAGAACAGACTAGAGTTGCAATGTACGAAGATAACTAGATCGTCACTACTAAAAGCAATATTGCGGCTCGCAAGATTCAAGCCCCTCGACCCACAGCTTCAAAACCCAACCTTTCCATCATGTCCACGCTTTCAACGAACATTCCGCGCACAGATCGGCCTCATTGGGCATTTTTGGACTCGATGCAACAACAACGCGATTATTCAACCTACTGCCTCCGAAAATGGCTCAGTCATCACCTTTGCAACAACTCCAACGGTGGCCACCATCACCATTGGTTAGCAAGTCTCCGGCGCCGACGCCGCCGCCGTCGCCGCCAACCACCATCATCACCGTCCGCCACCGCTAATACTGCAGGTTCTATCCCAACCTCTCCTCATCGCCATCGCGCCTCCAAATCACGCGTTGCGCTCCTATCACTGAGGCGGTGAACCAGTACCTGGAGCCCCGTTATACGCCTGCCACATCTGTCTCGACTTCCCACTGCCCAGGGACCATATAGACCTACTCGGCCACGTGCGTTTCCATGGAAATATTTGGCAAATCAACGCAGATCGAGCTCTATAACCACACATCTTACCACCGACATATACAGCAAACATGAACGCGTTCCACATCACCTACAGAAGGCACGGAAAAGTACCTCTCAGATGAAGGGGAAGCGTGAATCTAGATGGCCTCTTTGGTGGCCTAACGCATGGTAAATCTGGCAGTCCACCCTTTTATACAGATGCCTAGTGAATAACGTGTGGGTCAGCTCGTGTGCGGTGTGCGACGAAGAGCTGCCTGGCTCTCTCAGTCGATCGCACCCAATCCTGGCATCAGATGGCTGGCCGGTTCGGGAAGAGGGAAAAGTGAGGTCGACCCTAGGGATGCCAACCCACGGTACCTCAGCGAATTTCTGATCATAAACAATCTTACACACTTTTAATCTATCCCGATGCGCTCACCAAAAACAGTTGTTTGTCTTCTCTGATATTTGCATGCAATTTTCTATTTGTATCCATAAGCATAGTTTATAATCTCGCTTGATAAATGGAATCGGAAAACTCCTTCGACGCAAACTTTTGGGATTTCGTAATTGTCTGGAACTCGGGAAAGGAAAGAGTTCATTAATGTCTCCCGACTGCCTCGAGAATTAGGTAGTCAAAAGACAGCATTACTTTGTTGAACTGTCGAAAATTGAATAGATTAAATGAACTAGGCTGAGTTTACACAGAAGCCTTTTGTGCCATTAATGCATTTCAAGTCTTTTCCCGGTTCAAGCATGAAGGACACTTACGATTTCGTGGTCTGGATAGACGTTGAATGGTCGCTTGAACTCCCTGTTGATTTACGTTCTCCAGAGGCGTCTCTGTATAGTTTCGGTGTCCTGTAACGCGAAAGCAAAGTTTCTGCCCAGCCCTGGTGTATCGCAGACTGGTGGCAATAAAGAGGATTGCTGCCACAGCGACGAGCACGCCCGTTATAGCGGCCATTGGACTGTAGAGAGAAGATAGTGCAGTTTATTGTGAGACCTGCTCTTATAAATTAGGCCAGAAAATATAGAACATATAAAGCAGAACTTAGTGTCGAAACGAAAAAACGACAAAGTTTCGCCATCAGCAATAGGCAACATCTGACAGAAAATGGTCAATGTTAGTTGTTTTTAATAAATAATGACGGTTGAATAAATTTCGTAGTTTATGATCGATATTGGCAAACTATTAGTAAAAGATGGGCTTGGAACATGAGCTTAGGGTTGGTTTCGAAGCTCTTAAATCCTGTGGAGACAGCTGTTTTCCTTCATCCTTTTACTAGGCCTATATATTTCCCTCTTGTATGCAAATATGTGCATATTACCATGCTGAATGTATGTTCTGTATTTAAAAGATGGATCAGACAGACGCTTCTCTAAAAAAGTCTGAAAAAGAAAAGATTGTAGAAAAAAGATGCAGAGTTTTGCATTTCCAAAGCATATGAAGGGTTTCTTTTTATGAGTGAAATTGACGAAGTTTCGACAAATAATCGAAACATATAAGGAAGCCGGTAAAGGAGTTTTAGGAAGACACATTCGCCAACCTCTAGAAGTTCTGCGCAATCCGTTATAGCAGCGCACGCTGTGGGCAGACAAAACAAAGAACTAGTGAATACAAAAAATAAAACCCCACGGCAAACAACTGAGTGAAAAAAAGAAATTTCGGAGTAAAATGTGGTAACTGGCCGAGCTCTTTAGAATTTCACAACTGGTGACTGAACTATTCAATAAATACGATAAAGTTTAAGCTCATTTGCTGGTTCCGGTCTATTTTTTCTTTCGCCACATCAGTTCCCGCACGCGATTCTGCCGTTGTACCGTGGGGCAATAATCATTTTTCAGGATTAACTACGCCGCTAGGTGTGCTGTTTTGCCTTGAAACTTCCAGGTATAAGGTTCGTCAATGGCGGACCTTTCCACAAACCTAATTGACATTTGCGCGGTCCAATAGAAGCGAAGAGACGAATCCCAGGAAGTAGTTTTGAAGAAGGAGGCACGATCGCTAGGGCAAGAGCTTTATCAGTCTGACGTTTCGGACTCCTGCACGGTCCTCTTGCACCGTCCTCCTTAGAGATCCATATGTTCGCAAGATCCTGTAATCAAACTTTTTCGTGTCGATAGTGTTGTCTTAATGAACTCTTGACCGCTGAAAAGAGGTCAGCGTAGGCAAACGACCTTTCTGGGCAAACTATCATTATCAAGTGCTACTTCACATGCTCGAAGGGGCGCCGAGCATAGTTCCATTGTGAAACAAAACAACAAGAAAATGCTTACGGCTATGTAGGATGTCCCCCAAACCTATTTGTTAAAGACTAATTAAACAGGGTCTCAAAACTTCTTCTCGTTTCAGCGTATCACTTTTATTGCTTCTTCCCACGAATGGAAGCCAGGTGGCGCAGCTCACATCGCCGCGAAGTACAAACGGCGTCACCACGCCGGGGGTACGATTGTGGACCAGGCTGCACAAACCAGACCTAGCCACGGACATAGTCCCCCCGCAAACGACACAACGATATAAATGTTCACACGTTGCTGCACTCTAGCAGTCTCTGATGATGAACTCAAGTTCGAGTTCGAAAGCTCAGACCAATAAATCTACCGTCCCGGTGATCCTGCCTTCGTCTTCTTTTAATTGCTCCTTCTTTCCAAAATCAACTGTTTTCTCAGATCATTATCGCAAAGGGTATAGAGTCTAATTCCATGCAGTCAGTTGCAAGTTCACCTGTTTCCTATAGTACACGACTTACTGTGGCCAGTCAAAATCTTCTGCATACCACTAAGAAATAGTGCAACAGGTGTTAAATAATTAACTTTGGTTTACTTTAACCGATGCACCCCCTTAACAAAAAACCTAATTTTAACAAAAAGTAGGAAAAAAACATCCAATGGAAAAGTAAGTCTAAAAATGTTAATGGAGTCTAGTATCCGGAATTCACTTAGATGTTTTCTAAGTCATTAACGCATTGCGAAGGCACTTGGCATGTTGGATGAAAGCATACACCCTTGCGGGAGCTTATTTGTTTCTGACAAATAAGACCAGATCGTCAAGCGTCTAAGGGCTTGTCACAAGCAGTTTGGTAGCCGGGAGTCTCGCCTCTACAAAAAGTACATAATTTTTCATCAACAGAAACCCACATGTTTCACAAAGCTCGGAAGCTAGAGCTATTGATTCAGAAGACTATTGAATGACGTTGCAAAATGAGCTACTCGAAGTGATTTCTGGCCATGGTATGGGGGTTGTTGCATAATCAACAGGAATGTTCGATGAAAAGAAAAGTCAACATATTATTGATATTAGCCCTACAACCACACAAAAGTTAAGTTTGATTAACTTTATTTGAGGACAACGGTAGTTTTGTGTTTGTACATAGAACATCCGCGGTGATGACGTCTTCTTTTTGAGAATTTGTGCATGGAATTATTAACTGAACGCAGCTTGCAGAGCTGGCATCTCAAGACTTCAAAGGTAAATATCAGTAATTAATAAAGGCAAACGTTTGAATTTCTTAAAAATTTCAATGCGCAGCACAAGGTCCTTTTTGACTGTGAGGAGTACTCTAGTATTACCTCAAATGTTTGGCTTTCGTTGGATAAATCAAGAGACCATTGCCATTACATAAGTGCATCTAAATCAGAAGTTGATTTAGTCTTGGTCGTCAGAGGATATACGGGATTCTTCTTTGCAAAACTAAACAAAAAATTAGCAGGAATGTGTGCTTTTATAACAACGGCACTCCAGGCGTCCTGTTGAAGCGAATTCACAAAAAGCAGATTACAAAATCGTTTAATGAGCACACAATCTATTTATTATCCAAAGTCAAATTGCCACTGACAACCAAACAGATATAGCAAACTTCAGCAAATAGCAGTTCCGCATTGGCAGACTATTAGTTTTAGTTCCTAAGTGAACTGTATATGCGTTTCAAAATGCAGTCTTACTTTTTCTTTGCTTTAATTTATTTATATGTCCTGTGGCTCTCATATTCCCAGTTTATGCTCAGCCGACAGGCTGCAAACCTCTGTTTATTAAAACTGTTTGCAAAGACGTGGTAATTCTGGGCAGTAGGCGTTTAAGGGTCAAGCGTTCCTACCTTTTCAACCGACTACGAGCGCATACATGCTCAATCAGTTTTATTAAATATGACGGACACTTGAGGGACGCCCCATGAACAGACGACACATTAACAATGGTCTACAGCCTTGTCTGTTTAATGTAGTTGATTTCAAAGGCGGTCTTCCAATTCTTCTAACTTCTCGGGGACCGGGTGGCTAGTAAGCCGCAAGGATCATGCGCCCATTGAAGAAGCTTGTTTGTGATCTGCGTGCTCAGATATACTTCCATTAAGCAGAAATGTAGACTCGCTCACTCGAACTTAAACCAGTCACGCACTGCGCATTCGTGAACTTGTGAGTTGCTAAGCACCAAACGTAGGGCCTACCTCTAGCTGTTTCCCTGCAAAGGTTCTTTAGCAAGACAAAGTGAAACTTAAAGTTCAGAATTTGACCTTGCTTTTCAGATGAGAATCCATCCACTGACACCTCGATATCTTACATGGCCCACAAAGATCTACGTCATTACTAGAACAGCATGCGTTTGACCCGAAGGGCTTTTAGCGTGATCATCCAACACATACTATCGTTAACGGAGAGGGTCAAAAGGATACATTAATGCCACAGAGCCACACCCGCCCTAAAGGCGACTTCAATACCGATCAACACAGCCAGGAGTTCACAGTCAGCACACATGCATCCACCAGGCACTGAAAACAAATAACGATCCATGTCAGCCGCCAAGGAGAACGGAGGAAAACTCGCATAGCGAGATTTAAGCCGGACATCTGATGAACTATAATAATCTAACTACTGTTGTGCAACCCAATCTTGAACAGTCTGTATAGCAAACCACCCGAAGTACAAGACACAAATCTTGATTCGGAAAGTCATTGGCTTCTCTAAACCGAGTCGCGGGAATCTTTTTTTGGTTTCTTGGCCATAATTAGTTCAGTCTGCAATAGAAGGATCAAAGTGGTCGTTTAGATGAAATTTCAGACCAACTCTACAGCACCCTATTGCAGCAGATGATCGGTTATCAATTATCGCTGTCACAACAGTAACAAGGCCGTCTTAAATGGGTGGAACACTGGATGCATAGGCGAACGTGAGCCCTCTGGTCTGATACGTTCAGAAATCTTGAAATTACAGTGCGTGACCGATCTGATGAAAGGTTTGCCAAAATTGTGAAATTCGTTTTCGATTGGAAAGGATTACTTAGGTGGGGTCTTAATGTTGCTTATCAAGCAACATTCTCCCACAGGTTTTCGGACTCGCCAGGATGTCCATTTTTGAATGCACTTCTTTTCGACCTCCTGGAGAAACTACACTCGGTAAAAAATGACTTCGTAAGTAGCATGTATTTTTTACGTTGATTTGCGACGGTCTTAAAAATCTAAATATTTCTTACGGAAAGCATGCACAAAGGTCGGTTTTCCTTTACTTGTTTGGTAGTATATAACATTTTCTTGACATTTTATACCACAACAAACGTGTATTTAGGTTTTTTAAAAGTTTCTGGTTCTGTCATTTTTAAGACCGTGCGATGCCCATATATACAGCGTCGCACATGTTCGTTTGCCAATGTTCCTCATGATATGTACAACATAGTCGGCATCCATTGCAAAATTTTATGAACTAAACACGGTATCTTCTTAAAGGCATAGAGGAATATATGATTTTTCTTGTGCGGAAAGCACGCATCTTATAGAATTGAATCGCTAAATGGTAATGCAGCAACTGGTCTGACCCAAAATTAATTGAGAGTTAAGAAACTTATTCAGAACCTAAACATACACTCTCTTTGGGTATAAAATGTAAAGACAATGTCATTTTCTACCACACAGGTAAACGAAAGCATACGTTGGCGCACGTTTTCCGCAAAAAATATTTGTATTTATAAGACCATTCCAAATCAACGTGAAAAATGCATGCTGCTTACGTAGTCACTTTTTACCGAGTGTGGTTTCTCCAGGAGATCGACAAGAAGTGCATTAAAAACGCTTTTTGGTATCAGACGCAAGGGCTAAACTTCAGTCATGAACTCCCTAACCAACGCAATGCCCCATGGTCGAGTGGACGTGTGAATAAAGAATGAATTTTATCTGCCCATTTGGAGGGTACGTGTCGTTTCCCCGCTCAGTACTTTGAACCAAAAGCTTGTTTAAGTCTTCGCGTGACAGATTTCTCTCCATGCGTATATTTGCAGCTGGTTACGCAGGAGGCAAGTCCAGATCCGTCGGCCTGGAAAAGATGTTACTGGGATGAACCGCTGGATGTCAAGGGCAGTTTTTGGATGATGGGCAATTCCCAGATCCTGGGGAAGGGAAAAATAAGCTCCGATTTTGAAAACTATGCTGCCAATGAAGTGTTACCCCTCTGAACCTAGCCCTATCATGACGATGACTGAAGTTGGCAAAAGGCATACTGGCGATATCTCAGCAATGTCCCAAAATAAACTGTTCCCAGAAAGCCGGTACCCGCACGTGACTCCATACTTCAAATGACTACTGTAAGATTCTATCAGCCGCTTCTCAATTTTTTTAGGCTACACCGAGTTTGAAGAGACAAGCGACGTTAGGCACTATCAACACTTTTTAATGATCACAAGCGAGTGCCCGCTAAGTCAAAACTATTCAATTTTTCTGAGAAACTGAGAAAAAAACGAAGGATAGATGGAGATAACATCTAGTTCTGACTTTATAAGATTTCTCTTCAGCCAGCCATAACCCAAACCAACATTTTGTGCCGTGTACACAAACGCATGCTCCCAACGCGCATATGGCTCACAGATGGGGCCGGATCTATACTTCATCAGGACGTCCGAGCTCAAGTTTATCTGTGCCTGGCTACCGATCAACCTAGCCGGGGGTGAATGTGGTAATGATCCATGTAGCTGTGAACGAATGTTGATGAAGTAAAAAAGGCCACAAACAATGACCATCTGTCAAATCCGAAAATTTTATTGACGCAGCAGTTAAGCGGCATCTGTGGACCAAATGGCAGATGTCGGTCATAATTATGATTGGCTGGAAAAAACCTTTCGAAACCAGAAGTAACGGTTTTCATGATGCAAACTTTATCTGCTTCGTGATCCCCAGGGGTATTTCTAACTTAATTTCCCATGAAACAATTCATATTTTCACTGCTCTATGGTCCGGACTTGTTCCAAATCACGCACGTTTGCCACAACCAGCATGAAGTGGATTACATTTAAAGCTATTTAAGTACGAGATATTGAAGATGATCCCTGGCCGCCAGTTTACCCAGAGTGGGGAGCCCACTTGGGACACCACCAGACCAAATCCGATGGAAAGTCTTCCAAATCAGTAATCGGATCTTTGGTACTCTTAAGTTGTACAAAACGATTCCTAGATTAAACGCACTTTCAGCGGTTTTTCCCGAAAATGAACGTCCAATGCAAAATATTTTCTTAACAGACGTACTTTCGCAATTGACTGCACGCCAGTTTTTTTATTGTAATGTGAATGCAAACATACACTGGGAAGTTTTACTGACAATGCCGGGGACACCGGAACAGTTATTTTCGGCTTACTTCGTGTCATCAGCTAAGCATATACCTCACGGCCCAGGTTTAAACAGGAGACAGTTGACCATTTGGCAACGTTCTCGCCATTGCACTACGAACTTTCATCATGCCAGCTGAGAGAGGGAACATTCAGTAACATGGTGCCAGCTTGTACCCACCTGTACTGTGTGAGTAGCAAACCCTCAGCTTCAAGGCAAAACGAAAATGCCAATTTCTGTCCCACAATAACGACAGATCTGAACACGCTAATCACATATGACGAAAGGTTTGCACGAAACGATCGTTTGATGGCGTAATTTTCCAAAATACCTTCGAATTCTAACAAACGGAACGTGTACACAAATCACTAAAATAGGCCATTTAACCAAAAAGACTCAAGCAAACGCAAGTTGTTGTGGACTCGGTCGATGAACACAAAATAATCTCCTTTAGAGGCAAAAGCTGAGAATTTGTCAACGGACCATTACCATTCCTTCGGATTCTGCACCTAGTGAGCAAACAAATTTTACGGAGAATCGGTGCTTTCCGATTTGTTAAGTGACGCTGAAATTTTCGGACTGTTTTAATTCTACGAATCACAGCCTTACTGCTGCAGGTCTGCCACTCACTCAAGGCTCTCATCTGAAGATAAACCACTGTCTTCATTCTATCAGACTTATTCCACTTCAACCATAGATCGAACAATAACTGTTTGGTTAAAACTAGATTGAAAAACTGCATAAAAGTCCATACGCCTTCGTTGTTCAACAATACTTTTAAATTGAAACAAATAAAGATATATAGTACACAAGGCCATAATTTAATACAAACTTTGGCCTAAACTAGCGTCACACCGATAAGGAAAGAAACTCTTATACTGCTCCCCAAACAATTTTCATTGCATATACAACTCAGCCTTACTATGTAACTGACTCAAAATCAAAAAGTTAATCTAATAAAAGCTTAGTGGACAACAAATATCTCATTGTGGCTCTTACAGGGTTGGAACCAAATATGCTGAATCTTCGACAGGAATTCTCACAAATGCTGGTTGATGAAAAATACTGTCTGTTTAGATCTACAGTGCTCGGCCAAGCCGACCACAGTTACCTCGTATTCTACTTTCGCCCCAGTGGTCTTCCAGTCACTTATAGTTGCGCCAAGTTTTCTTTGAGTTGTTATCGCGAGTCGGATGTTGGCCATTGTGCGACTGCTGTGTGAGCTCTGGATTAGGAACTTCAAAAAAACGCAGACGTTTGTTTCCGCCCTTTACTCAGGCCAGACTGATAAATGACGGTTTTGTGTGCCTCAGTTTACTTCAAATCTCAGCCGAGTGAGCGTGAACGTGTGGCCCATTCAAAATATTTTTTGCTTAAAGTTGTATGATGGTAAAATCGCTGCTTAAAAGCAAAGGCGTCGGCCTTGGTTTCCAATGACGAAAAGGTCAGAAATAACTACTTTTAATCTCCCCTCCCTTTTCAGCAGTTCTTCTCAATCATGTAGTTTTTCGTAATTTTCAGGGCTTTATACGCTATACTGGTTTTAAAACAAGCAAAAACAACTTGATTTCTTAAATCTAACACAGTTCGTGGCCGCTTTCTAGTCACTAGTTAGTAGATAGTATGTTGCCCAAAAAAACTTTCCGGACAATTCGTCATGCATAAGTGGCCAGCTACTTGAAGACAACTTATACGTAGAGGGGAAAAGTTGACTTCCCAGTTCTTTACTTCGTTCATACGTTTATATGCTACGGCGTTTAGTTGTGCTTCTGGTACATTTTAAACTGCTTTTTCATTGATCGGACTGTCTGTTCTAAAATATCACCTTGATGTTTTAATGTTGATTTTTGAAAAATTGGTCTGTGCTTTTTACACCTTACGCACGTTATTTCTCGAGTTTCAATAAGTTCGAAAAACTTACGAAAATGTCTCTCAGATATATAATCCTGTATTTTTTCCTGAAAGTTATCACCCAGGATCTCTGTAAAAAGGATTCAGCTTGTAACCTGGTTTCCAAGGTTTATGCAATAACTTTAGAATTTTTACCATGAATTTTTTATGCTAATCCAGTGCAGTTTCTCTCGACACTGAGCGTATGGCTTTATGTTGTTGCTCAACAGACCGCTTCATAAATGACGGCAGGATCATCGTCAGATGAAAGTCGCAGAACTGACTGCTTTAGAGGCCTGGCGCAATGCGTGCTCTGGAAATTGCGCAGACAGATTTTGGTACCTGCCGATAGGTTTCAAATGCATCAGACAATCATCTCAACTTATGGAGTAAACAGCTGGTACCCTCGACTTTTCACGCTCCAGGAAGCGGGCATAAGCACGCATTTTGTCAACCTTATTTGTGGGCCCTAAAACAAGTGAGGTGGATTCCTTGAAGCCTTGTGAGCTAAAACTAAAATATTTATGTCGACAGGTAGACGTTGTTCTGCAAACACAATTCTGTGGAATCTGACTAGTCAGAGAATGCGAACGATCTTTTCATTTTCATGGACATACCTTTATAACATTATCATGCCTATAGGTCATCAAGCTACGTTGTATAATACGCGGCACTGTCTTGCAAGAAGAAGCCGCAATCTTTAAAATACGCTCGCACTGCATGCCGCTGTACCTATGGTAGTGCTCGAGAGTAGAAATTTTCACCCACACCCTCTTAATTGTTCAGATAAACTCTATAGTGTTTCACCACGGTAATAGCTTAAAAATCTTCGGATTGGCTGGCGACAAGAAAGAGTCTACAAAATCCGAGACGCTACTTGTGTGACCACATACATTCCCGTTTTCCGCGGGTCTATTTGATAGTGAAATAAAGGCGGCGGCGTTGCATTCAAATTTTTATTACAGTCTTGTTTATGAAACGCCACATTTGCTTTTGTTAATTCCCTAAGTTGTACGGCCGCAATGTTATCAGAACAAACAGGATTCATAGTCCTTGGTTCACAGCCTATAAAACGTAGAAGTGTAAATAATCCACAACCTTAATTTCACGCTAAATGCTATTCAGCGTACGCGAACGGGGTTGAGTGCGCGGAAGGGTCTTCTATCCTGTCTATAGGGTGCAGTGCGAGTAATTCCGCCTTCTCTTGAACCTATAGTAAGACAACAGAACTCGAAATGCCAATTTCTGGCATATTTATTGTCACCAGTTAGGCTTTGACTCGACTGTTCGTCGCCCTGCTAAATCGAGTTCAGAGTGGTGTCCAAGTATGCGGAGCCAAGTGCAGGACAGCTCGTCTCGATGCGTCGAATGCTACACTTCAATGATACTGCCGTATGTGCAGTATAAAATGGCTGCGCTGCTCCAGCTATCTGCTAGAAATCGTAAATTTCCGACGAATAATTTTAATACTTTTAGTATCATAGAAATGACCTTCACCGATCAATTTAGAGGAAGTGCTATTCCGGTTGCGCCTATGTATCCAAGCTAGAACCATCGTGGTCGGGAAGGAATGATTACAAAGACGAAGGAGACCCGAATGGCATTGTTGGCTTATTAGCCGAGCAATCAAGTATGATTCCTGAGAGTTTGCCCCTACAAAATCAGTCATATATACGTATGACATATTGTTTACAAGTCCTTGGGTTGAAAATTGCCAAATTCATCCACCTGCCAGATCAATTTCCACACCCGTCAGATCTGCCACTCGATAACAATAAAGTTCGAACTGAGAAGCACTTCATAAATGCTCAACAGCAGATAACTGCTAAATTACGAAGTCCATGTTTCATCGCCTTTGTGGCATGCCTGGGACGTCTACCTTGAGTTAGACGTTTGGCCGGGCCATCCTGCGTTTTCAATATGTTTGCGTTAAAGTTTCGATAATATAATATAACCTCATAATTTCAGGCGAAACAGCTGATGTTGTTCCGATGTTCGAAGAAAGCAATTGCTGGTAACGGTACGAAAGCTCCTTATTTCATAGGTCATCGCCCAGTTTTGAAAACATAAGAATAGCATGGGGAAAATAGCAGCCCCTCTACCGTGTTATACACCTATCTGAGAAGCTCCGCTCCTTCCTGCGTACTTAGGCAGCCTGAGATTGGCTCACAGGACTGACCACCAAAGATCGCATGCTAATTTCAAATGTTAGCATTCAATTCATTTCATGCCACCGTTATAACTTAAATCTGGCCATTTCCCAGGCAGCTGCCATCAGGCTGTTTAGACAAGCCTATTTTAAAGGCAGTCTTGATTACTTGTCTTCCTGTGGTGAGCAACGAATTCGAAGCCTCAGGACTGGCAAATAAACTTTAACAAGAGTTGTGTTTGTACATTCCCTCCTTCCTGTTCAGACAGTATTTTTCCACGGCGAGGGACCTAGGGGTGCATAGGAGCGATTTATATGAACGCGCTGTTATTGGCCCTAAGTAGTGTTTGCAAGTTCCTATTAGCAGGGTGGGCAGTAAAGCTTCTATGTGTCCACAGTAATGGAGACGAAAGCTGTTTCATTAAGGCAGAACGCGTTTTTTGTAAAACAGTCTAAGTGCGCATACGCCAAAGAGTGAAAACTGATAACGACAATTTTCTGAACGATAATTCAAGGACTTCGTGCAAAGAAAATCTCTTTTATGATAAATATACCGTGGGAAAGTACAGTGACATGTTAAAATGTTCTTTCCTGATCGGTATTCACGCAAATAATAGAAACCGTTTTTGACTGAAAAAATGGCGGATCTATAGGCGTTAAAACAATACATTAGAAGCACATGTACAGTGGTATTCTTGCAGATATTCAAATGGCCATAAAAGGAAGAAACTCCAACCTCTGAGAAAAGTACATAAAGGTTTATTAGTAAGACTCATTGGGACAACATAAGGAATTATTTTGAAGCTTGGGCCAATCTTCTTTAAACGGTGAGTTTCCACGCAGTGTATGTCTAATACATATCAGCGTGGACAAATATGACATGTTGTACATGACAGCCTTTGCCAACTACAGTACATTGCGCAAAGGTGATTATTCTGTGAAATGACTCCTTGGTGAGCGTATCCTTATATATTTAAGGTGCCATTACTTCAAATCGCAATATGAGGACAGTTAAAACACACCGGAATACCTACGAATATCTAAGACTGCAGCTCAAGTCAGGCTGTCAAAATCATGAAAATGAAGTAAGGCTTAACCTCCCCCATCCAGGCAGTGGTCATGCAGACATATCTGACTGTTTCTCAACTATCTGGCCTGACCCAAGCATATACTACGCATGTGCATTACTCGCTGCAATTCCAGAAAATAACCTATAGGGAGAGTCTAAACCAAGTGATAGGTTTACTGAGAAACAGATGGTAGATCTGGATAGCAATCATAAACGACTTGACCCTAGTGTGACCTCCAAAACCCGACGATATGCAATCAAGATATATTGGTCCAAATTCCTAAGTAAGAAGTCAAATGCATCCGCTGATCGAAGAGGCATGCACTCCGAGGGTTACAATGATAGGCCTCAAAGTGTACTGAATTATTATTCTAAATTTGGCACTATCGAAAGACGGAGCAGGGACATTTTGTTCCACGTTGGGACTCCCAGTGCCCTTCTTCGTAATCCTTTAAAAAAATTAATAGTGAAGGTAAAAGGCGGCTAGAATAGCCATTCTGGACATATTGGCAGTAAGCATCTAATCGTCTGCGAGGTTTGGAGCAGGAACACTTGGGCACTTGCGGTCAATTTCCCAAGACAATGTCAATACCAATGCTCAAGTCATTTTGTCCACCCGTCATCAGGAAGTTATCCAAAATGCCCTCATACCTTATCCTTCCTGTAGTCAGCTAGTACCATGTGACCCTCGTGCACTCGTAGGACATTTTATGGATTTCGGCTATGTCCTGTATCAGAACGGCTTTCGAGCAGAAGTTAACTTGATTGCTGAAATCAGAGTTCATTTCTTTGCGTTCAACATAAGCAAAAACTTTTTCGGAAATGGAAGGGTCAGGCTTGAAGTTGTTACATTTTGATTCAGTTGTAATGTTGGTTTCACCAGAAAACTGACAATTCTGAAATACTGTAACTGCTTGCGCACAGGCCATGTCTGTTTACTGCAATAACAATGGGATAATTCAACGGGTTTAACAATGCATTAGAGCAGCCGAGGAATTTCTAACACACTTGCGAATTTCTCCTCGTACCATTGCCTAGATGTGTTGGGTGCTGCCCGTTACACGCGTTGTCAACTCCAATACCTGGCTGTGCGCGTTACTATTTATGGTTGCAGACATTTGCCCAAACAATACATAAACGGTGCAGCATATAAATTTGAGATCTGCTGTCCCAAGTTGCAATATCACATATCTGGCCTGTGCTTCCTAGATGACCATACAACTAGGTAAACGGACCAGAAATGTGCATTTCCGTGCCCCTTAGTCCCACGATGGTGGTTTTTCAACCAACGGTCATGCGAAAGCCGGGACTGGTTCTTGTCAGTATTCAAAAACTGCGCGAACTCGCGCAAAACGATACTTTCCTACCATGCGATATCATAAATTCCAGAGCTGCAAAATGCAGAACCCATAAAAATAAGGTTAACAATTCACATGGCGTAGCACTTCCTTTTGCGGGGTTAGTACGTTTCAAAACAAACCGCCGGAAATGTTCTCGTAGGTTGTGTTTTTACCCTAATTTATTACTCGACAAAAAACGTAATGGTAGTCTTTTATAGAGAAGAGTTAGTTTAAATATCTGTCGACATGAAATAAATAAAATGTCATTGGTCGCCTCGAACATCGTTTACCCAAGCAGGATATGTAGACAAAAACTATTCAATTCTCAACAACCAGCCAGAGGACGAAACCTCTGTGAAAGTTTATGCTGGCATTAGTTCGCGTTGAATGTCTTCGGGGCAGTACAGAAAACCCTTTTTAAAGTGCAAAAATGAGTACATATCGTTTTTTAAAATAATATAAATAAATATGGGGCAAAATAAAGTGCGCTTTATGAGATTTCTACTATCGACTTGCATATATGAGGAATCGGAGAGTGCTTGGCAGTCAACAGGGTCGAAGGGGTAGTGAAGATTGCAGTCAGAACAGCAAAACCGAAAGGTCTGATTGCCGCAGCAGAATTTCGGGCAGATAATTTTTGACGACTGTACACCATGATAGAAGGCATCGCAGAGAGCAGCTAACGGACGGAAAAGAAAACCTTGCTTCAGATGTTTGCCCCATCCATTTGTACATCAGCGTGGGAGCGTCACTTCGGTGTAATGCACTGGCATCATAAGGTAAATAATGTCGCATTCTAATTTTTGTCACCTCAACCAAACTGGTGTATACAATACCCGCAGATATAAGCCGTAGAACTCTAGAAAAGGCCAACGGCTTTGTTTAGCTCGAGTTGTGCGCGCACATTTGATCGAAGTCATTATTTGTATGCATGAGGTTGAAATTCACGACCGCATTAATTCAATGTTTTTATTTGGCTGGAACAATTTTTGGTTAAACACTTTCTTTAAAATGTTATGTTTTAAGATAAGCAGTTAATTTGTCGCTAATTTTTTATCTGTTTGGGGGACTGGGTGTGGAAAGTATTTTTCAAAAGGGTAAGCCCGCCAATAAATAGACACTTTTTTATTCTAGTCAAGACAGGGCTGGAAGTATTAAATGTACTGAAGTTATTTCAGCAGCTACAAATGACGGGCTGATTAGGAAAACACAGATGGAAAATTCATAGTTTATGGAAGCAGCCATTTCTCGTTCAAAATTAAAGCGAGCACAAAACTATTTTTTGCTGACTCAATTATATGAAGCATACGTTCTGGGACGATGCAAATTCAGGACAAAAAACAGACAAATGCTTTACATGTACAGCACAAGGATAGTTCAGAATACAATGTATCTTACTTGACATTATTACAACGCACCCCACTTGGTGTAAAATTGGGAAGGAGCTATTACCTCTCCAACCACTTAAGATGGATTTCTCCTAAGAAATAACTCAACCGTGCGTGATTCACCATCTCAAGGTCAGAACATCATTATTGGCGGGTTGCTTTCTGCTGCTTACTCAAAGCGTTACCCACATCATGCAGACGCTTCAACAGCGAATCATTTTATTCGTGCTGGAGAACCCTTTGTTTCTCTCAAGGAGATCTCTTGCACTCAACTTGCAGGTCGGCCTTCCAATCCGATAAGAGGTGCGCGTTCATTGTTCATCCGAAACATAACTGCAACGACGGTTGAGAAAATGTATTTGTCAGACTCATTATCAGAAATGGGATAGAAATCCGCCGGGAGGAGTACTCCGTTTTCTGGTATTTCGGTTGTCGGGAACGACGGTCGAACTGTTGATATTTAAATCGGCAATAGCGGGCATGCATCCTCAAAGACTGGCGTCTTTTACGTGGGACAAATAAGACAGCAGGTCGGGCGTTAAATCAGACCTGCGACTTGGATAGCTATCCCCAAATGCGTGGGAGAGAGGTACCCCACTGGATCTCAAAAAGCACCTGGTTATGTGGATCATGCATAACCGCGACAGTTTTTCTGCTTCCGGTTGTTAAAGAACTCTGCGCTGTCTTTGGATGGTGGTCTGCGAAGCTTGGTCTGATACAAGTGCCCAAAATACGGTAGGAAGTGCCGTGTGGCGGCCTACCATCGCATTTTCTGGTGCGTCCACTAACCCCGATTTTCTTTGACCGCATCCAGTACATTGTCCGTTGAATACCTAGGCGACGCGTGACGTCCTCTGGTCGTGACGACAGCGTGATGCAGACTGTCAAGTTGGTATTCAGTCGTTGGCCGCGAGCGAACTTGACTGAGGCATTGGATAGTACCATGCGCTGACGTGAACTGCGACACCTCGCTCTTAGCGTTTATAGTGAGTTGCCACCGCTAGCCGCTGGAGTGCTTGCGACAATTAGATCGTCCAGTTGAACGATGTCCATGGTATGCCCAATAACAATGGTGGACGCAGGGCTGGCCAATTGCGCGCGAATTAATTTACGGTGGTAGTAGACATGCATGTTATCTACCGCACGCTTTCCTCACCACCCAAATGGACCCATTGTCAAGAGAGAGTAAAAAAACGGAGGTGGGGTCGGTCGTAAGAGGCTGGCACAGAGTGAACCCGCAACCAGGCGTGCCACCACGCCATTGGTCCACGCACAAAGGACCAGGACTCCATAAAACAAGAAAAGTGGTTCCGCTCGTATCCCAACAGATTAGGAGAGTCATGAAAGCCATCTAATGAAGAAGCCATTCCAGCCTACAATGAGTGACCGGTTTCATGAAATGTTAGCCGAAATTCTGACATTTGTTCCCGATTAAGAAGGATTACTCAAGTGGGGTTGATATACAGATTACCATTCAGCATAACCCTATAACATTTCGAACTTGCCAGGAGGTCGGCTTTTTAATGCCCGTCTTTTTGACCTCCTGCAGAAAACACATTCGGTAAAAGTGACTGCTTAAGTAGCATGCATTTTTCCAATGGATTTTCGATGGTCTTATAAATTCAAATACATTTTATGGAAAACGTGCACAACAATATGCTTTCTTCTACTCATTCGGTGGCAAACAACGTCGACTTTACATTTGATGCTTGAAGACAGGGTATATTTAGGTATTAAAGAAGTTTTTAATTATACGATTTTTTAGGCCTACAATATCCATTCATACAACATTGTACTTGTCTTTTTCGTATTGCTCCTCATGAAATGTAAAACATAGTCCGCATTTATTGCAAAATTTCATGAATTCTAACTAGCATCGTCTTAAAGGTCTAGAGGGAAAAGTTATTTTCCTTATACGGAAAGCATGCGTCTTGTAGAATGAAATCGCTAAACGCTAATGCAACGGCTGATCTCTCTTAAAATTATTCGGGAATCAGAAAACTTATTTAAAATCTAAATATACCCTGTCTTCAAGCATAAAGTTTAAAGGCAACGTGATCTGCTACCGAATGAGTAGAGTAAAGCATACATTTGTGCATGTTTTCCATAAAATATATTTGAAATTATAAGACCATCGAAAATCTATATGAAAAATGCATGTTACATACGCAGTCATTTCCTATCGAGTTTGGGTTTTGCAGGAAATCGAAAATAAGTGCATTCCAAAGCCGACATCCTGACAAGTCCGAAATATTACTGGATAATGCCGCATGATAATCAGTATAACAACCTCACCTAAGCAATCCTTCCAAAGCGATACCGCACTTCAGAATTTCGACCAACATTTCATGAGATCGGCCACTCACTCTATTAAAAACGAAATTTTAATTCTAACATTGTATATTTAATCTTTTTTGTACTTTTGGCCGTTATTACGCCTCGGGATGCAGGTTGTTAAACTCGCGCTACTGACAGAGCAAACACTCAAAACAGATGAAGTCAAAATACTGCCGAAACGCGTAGGGTTATTTAAGTTTTATAGTATGTTCTAAGGAGGCTGGCAGCGCGCAAGAGGTGCCGTAATAATAAACCTATGGAAAATGAGAGAAGCTGAAGTCTGTGTTCCATCGTACAGTGCGTGACCTATCTCATGGAATGTTGGCTGAAATTCTGAAATGCGTTTTCGATTAGAAAGGATTACTTGGTCGTGGTTGTGAGACCGATTAAGATAAGGCATATTCTTATAACATTTTGGACTCGGGAGGATGTCGGCTTTTTAATGCACTTATTTTCAATCTCCTGTAGAAAGAGTGCTAGGTAAAAAATGACTACTTAAGTAGCATGCATTTTTCCCATTGATTTTCGATGGTCTTGGAAATTCAAATATATTTTATAGAAACCACAAACAAAATATACTTTCTTTCAGTCAATCAATAGAAAATCATGTCTTTTTTATATTTTATACTTAAGGAAGGAGTATAATTGGGTTTTAAATTTTCTAATTGACGAAACATTTGGAGCCTGATCATTCAATGCATTAGCGCTAAGTGATTAAACTCTACAAGGTGCATGCCTTCCGCGTAAGGAAATCCCATATTTTTTTTACGTCATTAAAGAGATATCCTACAGGGTTCATAAAATTTTGCAATGGATACCGACCATGTTCTACATTTCATGAGGAGCAGTGGGAAACGGTCAGGTACGATGCTATGTGAATGGACATATCGCGGTCTTTAAAAGTCTCATAATAAGAAACTTTTTTAAAACCTAATTATACTCCTTCCTTAAGTATAAAATATAAAGAAGACGTGATTTTCTATTGATTGACTAAAAGAAAGCATATTTTGTTTGTGGTTTCCATAAAATATATTTGAATTTCCAATACCATCGAAAATCAATGGGAAAAATGCATGCTACTTAAGTAGTCATTTTTTACCGAGCACGCTTTCTATAGGAAATTGCAAAGAAGTGCATTTTAAAGCCGACATCCTCCCGAGTCCAAAATATTATAAGAATATGCCTTATCATAATCGGTATAACAAGCACGACCAAGTAATTCTTCCCAATTGAAAACGCATTTCAGAATTTCAGCCTACATTTCATGAGATAGGTCACGCACTGTATGTCAACCAGAGAATCGAGGATAACTATGCGCTTTTCTTCTGAAGCAAATTCTGGTGCGACAGCGACTGATGAAGACGCCACATGCTTGGGTGACTTACAAAACCGAAAACACAAAACAAAATTTAGGCTGAAATGAAATTGTGAAATTCTTTGGGCCAACCAAGGTGATTTACGACCAACAAACGGATGCGACCGCGACAGTGCTCATTTCCACGGAAGCATTACCTTTAACGGAATAATGGCAAATTTTCAAGCGCTGGACTGAGCACTTCGGGGGTTGTCTCAATCAATAATTCTTAATGTAGGACAAAGTCATAAACAGACTGCATCTACTGGAAACCAACGTGGACTTCGGACGCCCTCTCTCGTTGCACATACAGTAGATGTGCTAACTCATGAAATGCCAACCAAAATTTCCAACTGCGTTCTCGTTTCGAAAAGATAAATTAACTAATGTTGTAACACTAATCATCGTGCTGCATAAATCTTTAATGATCCAGTTACCTCAAGGTGTCGGCTTTCGAAGGAACTTATTTTCGGCTTCATGCAAGATCTATACTCTGCAAAAAATGACTACTTAAGTAGTATGCAATTTTCTCATTGGTTTTCGATGCCCTTGAAAATGCAATTATATTTCATGGAAAACATGAATAAAAATATTCATTCTTTTACTTATTCGGTAGAAAATCACGTCTTCTTCCAATTTAATACACAAAAGAAAAGTATAATTCAGTTTTAAAAAGTTTCTAATTGTGAGATTTTTTAATGCCGTTAAATGGCCGTTCATAAAACGTCATATATCTGCACTTGCGAATGTGACTTGTAAAGTTAACAATATTGCTTAAATCCACTGCTTCAATTTATGAACCTCATATGATCTCCTCGTAACACCGTAGAGAAATGCATGGTTTTCCGTACACGGAAAATATACAGCTTGTAGTTTTGAAACCCTGATTGCAAGTGTAACTCCAAGTCGGATTCAAAATTATTCAGGAATTAGAAAAGTTTTTTAAAACCGAATTATACTCTTCTTTTGAGGATGAAATTGGAAGAGGACGTGATTTTCTATATATAATTGAATTTTCAAGAGCATCGGAAATCAATGAAAAAATTGTATACTACTTAAGTAGTCATTTTTTGCAGAGTATGGATCTTGCATGCAGCCGAAAATAGGTTCTTTCGAAAGCCGACACGCTGCGGCAACTGGATCATTATAGATTTATGCTACATCATGATTAGTTTTACAACACTACACAATTTTTCTTTTCAAAACCAGAACGCATTTGGAAATTTTGGTTGACATTTCATGAGTTATCACATTTACTGTAACCATCGAATCAACGCAGTAGTTTCCCAGCGCAAACCATAGGTAGCTGGTTTCCTTTCAGCTGCA